AAAAGTTGGGCTAGTAGAATTTCTAACATGTTNGTTCTAGATTTTACTCCTTTTTTTTGGGAAATTAAAATTATATTTTACTATTTTCTTCTGAAACTGAGACCATTTTAATGGGAAATTAAAATTATATTTTAATGGAGGTAAACTCCCAGCTAGAAAACATTTTCTATTCTCAAGACCTTTTAATTAAGTGTGGCAAGATCCTATCCTTCCCACCATAATCCTGGGTGTTGCTATTGATACAAGTTGAAGCTACTGATATAGCTCCTTGATTTTAACTTTTTCTCTTTGCTTATCTGCAAGATTTTGTGAAATCGAAGTGATTAGTTAGGTTTAAATTCTGATGTTTTTGTAACTAATTAGTATATTAAAATGTGTAGAAAACTTAATAAAGTTGAATAAAATGTAAAAAAATGTTCACTGATAACTTTTTAAAAAGATTAGGAGTCTTTGTAAATAAAATCTATATAGCCTAAATTGTTATTTATCTTCTTTAGTTTTAAACTCATATGAATATATATGAGAAGGTACGCTTAAGGAGAATAGCCTAAAAGTCATCTCCTTACTTGGGAAATACTATACTATTTGGCAGAAGCAACTTGTTGCTTCTCTTTAAAATCAAGAAAGTTGTATTTAATACTTTAATATTGATATTATATATTTCTTGGGTCACTACTCCATAGGTAATTTAATTCTCCGTAATTTTATTTTATTTTCTCCTTTGATTGTGCACCTACAACTTACGGACCATCAAAAAGCTTAAAATGTTTCGAGCTATTGCTGGAAATTTTGTTTCATTTATTTATTTTCGCATTTAAAATCACCAATTGATAGCTCACTTATTTTTCTAGTTAATTCTGAACCGTGCAGGCTAGATTTATGGTTCTTTGTAAAGAGAAATTTTGTACTCAACATGCATGCTCCATTAATTAGCATACAATCTCGATAATAAAGTGGATGTTAAGAGGGGCGGAATGGAGTTCATTTGAACCCTCTTCGCCGGAAACACACTGCATATAGAAGGTACGATATTTTTTGAATGAATATATAGTAAATGTTCTTGGTAAATTAATCCTACCTTCTTCACTGTATGCATCTGATTGATGATTGGTATATGGATAGAATTTGGTACTATATGTAGGGGTGTCAATGGTTCGGTTCGGCCGGTTATTTTATAAAATATATACCTTACCAATTTTTCGGTTATTCTATTATATATAACCAATATTAGACTTTTCAAAACCGTTCCAATCATGTCGGTTTCTCTTCGGTATCGGTACGGTTCGGTTAGTTTTCGGTAATTTTTTTTAAATGTTATGTTAAAGTCACTAGTAGAAGTGGAATGCAATAACATATGTACATTTATAAGACCTGACAAAATTCTCTAGATATTTTTACAGTTTAAAAGGTGATGAATTAAGAAATAATGAAAGATGGCTAGAGTATAGATTCATTAAATATTCTACTACAGCGTAAAAGAAACTAAGCAAATATGAAAGACATTAATCAAACTGAGACTCAAGAATAAAGTCTATAGGATTAAATATTCAAAAGGATAAATCTGAATCATACGAAAGTAAACATATTCAATACATTACAATTTGTTACTCATTCTCTACAATACCTTGTGTCTTGCTAGTGAATATGCTGGAAATAATTTAGTTTCCATAGGAGTAGCATAATAGGTTTTGGAATTAGGATTTTGAGTTTCTTACTTGTTGGCTCGTAATTGTTTTATAATTCTAAGGCCCAAGAAAAAATTTAATGCTTTATTATTTTTAAACTTAATATATAAATATATTTTTTATGTTATAAATTTATTCGGTACGGTTCGGTATTTTTTCGGTTTATTTTCATAAAATAAAAGACCTACCCTAATTATCGGTACAGTTATAAATTTATACAAAAATCTACGGTTTTATTAAAAAAATCTAAAAATCGGTTCGATACGATACGGTTCGATCGGTTTAGTCGGTTTTTAAACACCCATTGACACCCCTCACTGTATGGGCGCTTTAGCACCCATTGCTTCTGACATGGAACCTCTACTTTATGTAAGCAACTAGTACTAAGAACAAATAATTTACGGTCAGCACCCAGGAACAAAATGGTCTAGTGGGTGCTTCGGTTAGGAAGTGTATTAAGGAACTATCTTGTTGTAGGCTGTTGCAGGATCGACTCCACAAATGAATTGGTGTTTTTCCTTTTCGTCTTTCCTTTTTGAGTTAATTTTATCCATGGTCATTGACTTTTGTGTTTGTTACCCAAAAGTCACTTTTCTTTTTTTTGTTACGTAAAAATCATTTAACTTTGTGTTCATTACACAAAA